AGGAGTGGAAAGGGCAAAGAAGCACATCCCATCCAGGTCCTAAAGAGCATTTACCACCACAAATACCAAGCTTAATATATATAGTGATGTGTTTAAAATCTCTTTTGTGAGAAGAACAAAACAAACAAACACAAAACAAAACAAAACAAACTGCTTTCTTCAAGGCCGAATGAAGCTCAGTTATCACTTAGGAAGGTTGTCAGCTGAGGGCTCATGGGGCACATATAGTTCATAAAACGAAGGGCTCAACTCCTTCAAAGGGACCTTCAAAGGGATTCCTGGGATAGGGCACTTCTTAGGTCAAATAGGAGACAGCAGAGAATCTCCCAGAAGATACCAGTGGGTTTTCTCTTCTTGCTGATTCTTGCTTAGAGAATAAGCTCGGACTGCGTGGACTAGAGAGGTGACTGACCTTTCTCTTCTCTTCTGTGCTTCCATGCTAAGGCCCTAGAAGTCAACCAGGAGGTGAACTGTGTGACAGCTTTTATTCCTAGCTGCCTGCAACACATTCAGGAAATGAGAAACAAGAAGAAAGGGTTGCTCTATGGTGTTCCCATCAGCATTAAGGATCATGTGGTTTGCAAGGTGTTTTCTGTTTTCCTCGTATTTGGGAAGCTCAGGAATTAAGAGCTGGTGAGCCATTGGGGTTGGGTGCAAGTTTGCATGCCATGTCATGAAGAAGACTGATTTGTGATGGGCTTTTTCCTGTGTCTACTCACCATTTCATCCAGCTGGTTAGAAATAGATGGCAAAGGGGCCTGAAGTAAGACCTGAAGAAGGGTAAAAACACAATGGGAAAAGGAGAGAGAATTGATGTGCAGAAGTGTGGAATGGGGAAGAGTATCATAGTGCTTAGTCACCTGAGCCTGGGATTGGGAATAGGGACAAAAAGGCTTATTTGAAGGCTGACTGCAGCTACATGTTGGTGCTAAAAGTTTCCTGGAGTGTCAAATTCTTTCTGGGGGGAACAGCCTTGAGATTTCCATGTCTTCATGGGCACAGCCCTCAAGCTGGGCCTGCAAGCTTACTCATTAGCAGTGGTGCTGTAACTTCTGCTTTGTATCTCTAACGAGTTCTGTGTTTGCCCTTTGGGTTCAAGGGCTGTGGCTGCACCTGTGGTTCAGGAGAGAAGCTTAGTGTCCCAGAGCAAGAGGAGAGCATGCTGATGAGAGTGCTGAGGAGCCAAGGAGCCATCCCATTCGTGAAAACCAACACGGCACAATGTGTGATCAAGTAATCAGCGGACCTCCTCTCTGTAATGGTAGCCTTGTCTTGTCCCAGACTTAGCCCTGTGGAGCTTGCCCTGGGTCATGGTCTTGAGGGTTGGTAGAAAATTACCCTTGACTCCCCGAGACACTGCTGAGACTTTCATCTTCCTAGAGAGGGGCAACAGAGAAGGGTGCAATTCAGCAGGTGCTCTGCAATACACCAAACACTAATTTCTCTATAAGGTTTCATAGATCAGGCATAGCTTAGCCTCTATCCCCTTCCTTGAACTTGAAGTCATCTCAGAGTTGGTAGTTGGCATAACCATAAGTCATGGCGCACCTGTTCCGCCCCTTACATTTCTCTGTTTGGCTTCATTGTATGGATGTAGCTGAACTGAGGACAGTAGCAAATGGCCACCCTTCTCCCTCTTTTCTCTACTCATAAGCTCTGTGGTTCCTCATGGGTTTTGTTTTCCCCTGTGCTTGCACTGCTTTTGGAAGAGGGACCAAGTCCCCACAGCAGGAGGCTTGCATTGGCCAAGTTGCCCATGTTGTTCTCTTCTGAATTATGCAAGTTGTTCTCACCCAGTTGAATTCACTCACGGAGTGAATGCTCCTCCATCCTACACAGCAGGAACAAAGAGCAGGTTTCCAAAGACTGACTTGTTCCTTTTGATCTCTTCCAGCTATGACTGCAGCAATGACATTTATGGCCAGACGCTGAACCCTCTCAACCACAAGAAGAGCCCTGGAGGCTGTTCTGGAGGAGAGGGAGCTCTGATTGCAGGGGGAGGC